GTTCGCCTATGTCGAAATGTTGCGTGATCCGTTAAAATTATTACGCAATTCAAGGATTAACCACGCTCACAATGCCAACAGCGTGCTTCCTACAGGCAACTCGTGCTTAGATGAAGAAGAATGCGCAAAGTGCCAAAAAGGAGACCTTAATGGGTATTAGCCAATAAAGTGTGGGAACATCGGAAGACACAACCAATCAACACGCCATGACGAGAGTACTTACATGTTTGAGGCATATCCGACTTGTGGTTTTACATTTGAAGATACCGATGGGATCAAAGGAGACGAAAGAGCTGAATTACCAGGCCCTAGAAGCGCACAACCAGTAAGTCTTCCGAGTATAAGATGCTGCAGTGACATTTGATGGATCCAGGTCAGATTAAGCAAAGGCACGCAATGTCACACTGATACTGCCCGCCCAAGGAAAACTGGCCCGATTTTGTAATGATCATTGCAACGATTTTGAGAGGCCGCAGTGATATATACTTTAAAGAACGTTTAAACTCTAATCATTGCTGCTCGGGGTTAAAAAATCCTTCATATCGGTCCAGTTGTCACATGTCAACTAATTTATATTGATAGACAATCGTTTGACTACCTGCAGCTAAGAAGTGTGAGCGCTTCCTTAAGAAGCATTTTTTTCATTCGTTCCTCTGCGAGAAAAGTATTAGCTATTAAAAATGCTGAGCAGTTACCAAAACAGTTAATTTAAATCGATCGCTTGTAGTCAAGTTAAGAACAGAGATGTTTCGTTCGTATGGTCAAAATGTCAAAACATCTCGACATACTACTATGGAATACGTTTGGTTAATCAAGCTTAACTTACGTTAAACCATCTGCATGACTCTAGTGCATAGGACATGTCTGTGTCGGCCCCAAGCCATACATCAATCAGGTTTGGGCCTGTTTTAAAAAAAACGGGAAATTTCTATCTAGATACAGGCTCTATGAATGAAAGGAAGGTTAAATGCTCAACGACGGCTGAAGGGTCTGATTAGAACACGACGCTTTTCCGTGCAACAAAGTGGTTAGACATACACGCGTATGCGAACCAAAATGCTCTCGATGCATAGAAAATTCTGACATAATTTCTTAAATAGCTTTGATATGAGCCAGGCTCTGAGGAAGAACATTTCTTTATTTTTTAACGAGACAAGGTTGATACAGTATATTTAAATGTCAGCCTCATTTCAGCATATTTAACTTAGAGGACAGTGTTAAATGCAAGCAACCTTCTTTTATGGTCACCTGCAAAGTAAATGACCATTTATGTTGTACAGATTTTCGTCATTGACTTTGGAGACCAGCACAAATTGAAATATATTTTATAGAAAACATACAAACCTATATAAATCCTTCGGCTTGTATGATAGCAAGTAACGTCTTCTTGAAATGTCGCATTTAAAAAAAGGCTATCTTTCGATTTTCCGATGTTTTCTCTACGGAGAAGTAATTAAATAAAAACTTAACACCGTTACGTGCGAATTAAAGCTTTCAAAATAACATGCTGCATAGACTATGTGTAGGAAAGCGTACACAGTTATCTATTGTGTATGGGAGAGGTCCATCGTGGACTTAAATGTATAAAATGAATATTGCTCATGTTGGATTCTGTACAATGAGGGAGTTTTAACAGTGGTGTGCTCAGTGCACTACAATAATAACAAAAGAAACCTTTTTTTCAAGAGGAAGGTATTGGCTATCCAAGCAGTATAAAGAGGAATATTTTAAGTTATAATATCCACAAGTATATTCGAATTTATAAAAACATAGAAAAGCACCGTTTAAAATTCATAAAACATAAGTAGTTATGTTAAGAGAGTGTGCTTTCTGTAAGCGGATGAAAAACAGGCGGATTCGAATTGAACACACCTTTCAGAATTTCCGGTGACATTCTTCCTGAGCTGGGTCATCTACTATACCTTAAGTCATTAGAAATCAACCAAAATTATGAAATGTGGTTTTAATTTGAAAGCATCGTTTCAACAGCACAATTATATTACACAATCTCAAAGTATTTCAGTCATACCAAAAAAGCCTACCACCTACAAAATCTCTAGTCCATAATTATTCACATGACATATTTTTTCTTGCAACTCTCCCCCTGCAGGTTGCGCGAACGTCACGGCGCTCGGCCATTAAAATACAGCAAACGGTTGGCTTCAGGTGCCCAGTCTCACGCCAAGTACCTAGCAAGCCACGGTTTGTTCGAGCACAGCAAGTGCAACAAGTACGGCGAAAATCTTCTCGTCCGCAAGGGTCCAGTGAATACTCAATTGACAGGTTAGTGGCATTCATACACATTTGATCATTAGCGTCAAAGCCTGTGGACAGTGGCTCAATTTTGATTTTTTTACCCGTGAGAAATTTGGTGGAAAAAGGAGTGCATAGGCGTGAATTCGGTTCATAATTCTGCTTATTTTGGCGAAATACATCTACAATTTTAATTGTAAATAATGTCACCAAGTGCTCTGAGATTACTGTTAACAACGAAGGCAGCTTTACTGGGACCAAATTTGAAAATAATAGGAAGATATTATCGGCCATGCTTTGCATACACGGACTAAGAAAATAATGAGGAAAAATTTTTATGTAGTGCAGTTAAAACAATTCTGGATGATTTTAGCTAACACGCATTTTGACAATAGCTAAAGAGCATAGCGAAACATGGATAAACCTAACTCAAGGAGCCACTGAGAAATCAGACTAAATAATTTGCAATAAAAACATCTTTTTTAAAGTATAAAAAGTCATTATTAAGAAAAAACAACCGGTTTTTCTTAACACCTGTTTAAAAGTGAATATTTTAAGTTAGCTCCTCCGCCAGAGAGTTTGGAGGTCTTTTTTAAAGAAAATTGTTTTCGTGTAAATGAATTGGCCTTCTCCTAGAGATGTGCATATTTTTTTCTCAAAGTCTGCTGCACTGAAGAAAATGGGATTTTCCCCGTTCTGCCAGGACCATAACAAGCAGCCCTGTACTGTTCTAGTGACCAATTAAATTCGTCTGAGGAAGAAGCCTTCAAGAAGTTACACAGAATTGGCAACATAGGGGGCCGAGCTAAGCCCTCTGCCGTTTTTTAATGATGAGTAACGCTTGAAGTCGAAGTAGCTGCTCGGAACTTGCTGGTCTGTTACGGTGATCTTTGTGAGTATACCGGCAGAACATTTGTGCTCATCCCCTTTAAATTAAGCCCGCATAGGTTGCGAGCATTTTACAAAACATACCGGCACGATTTCTCTGCTGAACGAGTGGGCTAGAGCGGATACAGACGAGCGGTAGCAGTTAATACAATTAGCGGTATTTAGGCAGTTATTAAAACCACGCTAAAATGTTTTGCGTCTGCAGTAGTTGCTAGAAAAATGACACAATATTTGCTAGAACGGCTAACCTAGTAACCCGCTCTGGTAATCATATTTATTTAATTGCAAACTGGGCATATCCTGATATTGGTTATTACAAATGTGGTGTCATAACAAAGCAATACGTTTTCTCCTATCGTGAAGGAACGGAGCAGATTATGAATTAAATTACTATATTTGAGTTACTTATTCCACTTTCCGTGTGAAATTGTATATGAGGGACTCCCCTCCTAGTGATTTTACTGACTACCTTATTTTTCACAGGCTTATCCTTCGTAGTGAGTGTTTTTTGTACGGGTCAAGGATACCTGGGGAACAGGGTCCTGAGTTTATGAGCATGTAGAGGAAGTTTTGTAACGGTGTAAGTAGTGGGTGTACTCGGATCACTATAATCACCACATTGAAATCCCCAGGTAGAAGGTTAAAAGGCAAGAACCACCAGAATTAGGGGTTTATTTTATACAGAACTACCAGTCGTAGCCCCAGGTGGCAGTGGCCACTGGAGAAGCCAGGGGTGGTCCTAACTGCGTCCAGCCAGGCCTAAGAGTGTCGCCTGTTTGTTGTGTGGGGTGATGACAGTTGCTTTTACATGACTGTGAAGCGAGATCAAGAGTTCTGCCATTGGTGTTGCAATTGCCCGAGCAGATGTTGTCTGCAGAAGTCCTTGCTGCATAGGCCGAGGGGTGGTGTATTCAAGTGGCACTAAGGTAGGCGTGCTTATTTGGGCGCAAATGTATACGCAGGTGTGTGCGCACATGTGTACGGCCTGAGTAATCTGAGGTCAACTGTCGGGTCCGCCGGCAAGCCGAAGAACAAAGGACGTTGACGCAGCTATTATCGGTTAGCCAGAAGCAGCTGCGAGGTTAAGCCTTGGGGGACGGGGGCACCAGTGAAAGAAAACATCGATACAGTTACTTGTTACGACGCATAACTTTCGGGCCTTGGACAATGAAGGAAGGATGGCCATTGTAGCTGTCCGCCACAGGTTAATGACCTGGTAGCATCGGCCGTTGAATATGGGAATAATGGATATCAGTCAGCTTGTTTACAAAATAAGGAATCTAGTCACAGTCTGGAGCAATAGATCTGGAAAACGGTGTCAGTTGTAGCTATAGACCAAGCGCAAGCTGCAGACACTGCATAGAAGGCTCGAGATTGAATAAAATGCCTAAAAGATAGCACTGAATGGGGAACCTACGTCAAGGATCATCTGCGAGAAGACATTCTGTTCGATGCCTGAATGTTCCTGAAGTCGGTAAGGATTTTTATGGTCCCGTATAACGCCCTCAGAAATGGGGTAACTCGAAATGCAGGCGTCTGTCCGCTATACTTTAGGACAACTGAAATAGAGGAAGTTCTATTGTGATGGTTATTTTTAAGTTTAGGTTACGTTTGACACTCAGGGGATTTTGGTTTGAGATTGCGGTTGAGGTTCGGGCTAATGCAACGGTAAGGTTAGTTTTAGGTAGAGCTTTTATTACAGTCAAGGCACGGGAACATTTATCCTTTCTGAATTTATTTGCAAGGGCGAGCCATCACGTTTTCCATATTTTCGTTGAGGGTACATATCGGTTATTCATATGCAACTATTTCTGCAGGTTGAAGAAAGTGTTAACTGCAGTCATGTGTTCCCGTAAGAGGTCGTCAGAATGCAAGACGACTTTACATCTACGAACCAACGTGATATAGTATGGAATATAGAGGAAACAAATTGAGTTAACCATTTCTCCTGTTGAAGATTGTCAGAATTCTTACAAAATATAGCTGTCGTAGTTTTCACTCTTTCTTGCCGTTAATTACACTTATTTTAAATTTCAGGTATCAATTATGTACATCATTACCATGACGTTACCTTGCGAATGGAAACCGCTTGCAAAAACCAATT